CCCCAAAACCCCAAAACCCCTGCAATCATAATTTGTCTAAAGGTAAGAAATATTGTATTAGTCTGTAAATAAAAATTTCAATAATTTTGTTAGTACTATAGATTTCGCCATATTTGATACTTTTAATTCTGATCAGATTTTAAGTAATTACATTACTATTAAGATTCAGATTTTCTGTCTTGTATTACTTATTAATTGAAGCAAAAGATATGGATATAGATTACAATTCTGAAATCAAATAACCACTGCTAGAGGCTGAAAAGAATACTTTATAAGTACAAGATGAAATAAAGAAAAGAAATCTATTAAATACAGAATATTAATGGATATTGGACAATTATAAAGAAGTTGACTACTCTAAGATGGGAGAAAGAATCAAATATATACCATTTAAGTTTGAAAAGGTTGAAAGAGAATTCAAGATTGAGTAAATCATACTAATACATCAGAGAAATGTGATTTTAGTCGAATATTTCTATGATCATCAATATAGGAATAAAGAAGTTGATTTCATCGATTTCAAAACTTTGGACACTTTAAACACAATTAGCTTTAAAGAAGTAGACTATGATAGTAAGATCATTCTCATAAACTTCAATGAGATTGACTATGTTTTTTATCAAGAGACCTAATCTGTATACTTGATAAAACTTGATGACTTTATTGCTTAAAAGAAAGAAAATCATTTGATTGAATTCGCCTTTTAAGAGAGAGGTACATTCTTTAATGCTTAGATCATAGATGAATCCATCATTATGATCAGGCATTTTTAAACTATGTATCATTTCAAACTCAATAGTACTTTAGACAAAATAAACGTAAAATCAAAAGTTAAATATGAAGTAAGTCATTAGAATACTGATGAATATCGAAGAAACTTAGATAGTTAAAAACGAAATTTGTTTGTAAGAAATGAAAAGTAAGGTTTTCATCAGTTTCATTGCTCTGAAGATAGTTAAGTTTGCTATCTACTCACGAATCACTTCATTTTTAATGTTGATTATGGTGAAACTATCTTTGTTGATAGGAAATCTCTTGAAAGAGTCAAGCAGCTTGATAATAAGTACTTCTCAATCAAGTACGAAGACATATATGAATACGTATTGGACTACCATTATAATATTTATGATTTTAGCAATCAAGATGGATGCACTCTAAAGAAATTGCAAAAGCTTTATAACTCTTCCATTTAACAAATATTTAGGATTTCAACTACCCCCAATTATTTTATCATATTTTCAGAAAATGAAGATATCGGCTTTACATTACTGGTATTTGATTCTAAGACCTTTCAAATCAGGGAGGAGTTTAAAAATATTACTGATAAACACTAAGATTTTATAGATATAGATACAATAAACCATCGGATTTATTATAGAGATTCTAATTTTACGGAATAAATTAAGTATTTTAACTATAATACAAACTTAAGCGCTTTTAATAATCTTGTCCCAGTTTTAAAATAAAGATAGCATTTATTGGAAAAAGATATGAGACAAAATGTATAAAACTACCTTATATACAAGTCAGTTAAGGATTCAGAAGTAATAATGATAGACTTAATAACTGGATTCAAAAGATAAATGCCAGATTCTTCTTACAGAAATACTATCAACTATATAAAACATGACCTTGATATCTTTACTAAAGAAAACTTTTTTAAAATAATAGAATCATAGTTCAGGCCTCCGAGTTATGATAAAATCGATGATATCTCATGTGAAGATATTCCAATTAGAAAGAATGGTCAATATATTTTTTTCAAAGAAAATCGCATGGTTTAATGGGCTGACTTCAAGAAAAAATCTGAATACAAATTTGAAAGTAGTGATGCTTTTTGCATAATGCATAACCGCTTTCATGAAAAGCAATATATCTTTGACTAAGCATCAAGCTATAGAATTGTGTATTATGACATTAAAAACAAAAGGTTTGAATCAATTGATTTAAAAGAAGGAATGGAGATGAAAGATTATCCTTAATTAGCTATTATTGATGAAAAGATAGGCTATTTACTTATACAATATGCTCGTGAAGTCAGAATAATTAGTCTGTAAAAAAGATAAATTATCAAAGACATACCAGTTGAAATGAAACGCAATTCAGTATTTATTAAGAATAACTATATTCAAATAAACTCTGAAGAGGAAGGGACTGTCATCTTATTTTTCAAGAATTAAAGCCTTCACAAAATGATTCAGATAAAGCATAGTCTATAATTTAAAAATCTTGAAATTTTAGAATCTTATTAGAAAGAATTCAATTAAACATCATGCTTAATATATAAAGATAAAGATAAAGATTCAGGATCCAAAGTTTATACTATGACATTAAACTCATTTGAAGAAATGTTCAACTAAGATTTAATGATTCAACCCATTTTCCCAGCTTTCCATTTTGAGCTTGCTGACAAAGTACTTATAGATTCAAGTTAGGTTTAATTATTTATCAAAGGGGAGTAAACCATGGTTGGCTATTTCTTAATAGATATTAATGATCAAGTGATAAAAGATTACAGAGAAATAGCAAGTAAATCTAATGAAGAGATTATTAAAGAGCTATAATCTAATGTCAGTAAATACCTAAAGTTTGTAGCTGGTTTCGGAACAGGATTTGGAGTATTCTAGAATAATTTAGTTGCCTTAGAAACTCTCGTAAAATAGCTTTCGGTAAATGATAAGTTGACTGTACCTATCCTAATATGCCGCCTTATAGGAGAATCTCCATTAGATTTTTCTCTAAGTAATCGTCAGCAAAAAATTATCAATCTTATTCTGCAGATGATTCTAAAATACTAGGATCACATAATGTTTAACTAGCTGATCGATAAAAATTTATGTGAATTAATTCGACAATAGGTAGACTTATAAGAATATTTTCAAAGTAATTTGCCTAAGTATGAGATCCTAGACTCATCCTTTTTAAGTTAACATTAAGATGAATAAGAATTAATTGAAGGAATTAATTTGGATCATCCTAAAGACGTACATCAAAAGTATGATGAATTGTTTGAATGCAAATTAAATCAATCAAAAGAAAAAAATGACTCTGTAGTGTCTATTGAATACCATTTGATCAACATGCCGATAACGTTACAATCGAAACCATAAGAATTAATGACGGTATTAAGTGAAACAGATAGATCAGATTACTTTGAAAATGAGATCATCCAAGGTATTATAAAGTTCAAATGGAACGAATATACAAAATCCTTTTATTAGAGTAAATTCTATATTTACTTGATATTTATGGCAGCTTTTATCTTCGATATCTTTTATTCAACATATGCTACTGCTGTAAGAGATGAAGACAGTAAAACAGACTATGAAACTTAAAGATTGTAGCAAAATATTTGGATTAAGATTTCTACAAAAGCTATTTGCAGTATTGTGCTACTTTACTTCTTAAAATATGAGATAAATCAAATAAAAGTTTAAGGAAAAGAATACTTTAGTGATGGTTGGAATTACTTTGATTTTATGCTTATAATAGCTTATACTACATATTGCATTTTGGACTTTACAATTGACATAGAAGATTTCCTAATCTTTATTAGAATTCTGGTAATTGTATTGTCTTTTATGAAGCTATTCTTCTTTCTGAGAATTTATGATGGCTTCAGTTTCCTTGTTTAAATGATGGCTGGGGTCTTCAAAGATCTCTCGTACTTCTTGATGTTCTTTATCATTATCATTTTCCAATTCGGAATGATCTTCTTGGTCTTATTCAAGGCATAGGAAATTGACGAGTACAATGGTGTGAACAAAGTGGGATATTTTTTGATGGCTTTTAGAATTTCATCTGGAGATTTTCAGCTTGATGATTACCATACCTAAAATGACGGGCTAGTAATCATCACCTGGATGATTTGGTTAATTGCTGTTATGACTTTAAACATTATTTTCATGAACTTCATTATTGCTGTGATATCAGAATCCTATGAGAGAGTGATGCAAAAACTAGTAACAGAATCATACAAAGTCAAAGCCAATATGATTGTTGAGAGGGAGCAACTACTCAGTTTAGAAGAGTTGAACAACATAAACTATTTCCCTAATTATATTGCGATCAGAAGACCATTGAATACAGAGTCTAGTGAAGCTGGAGAATGGTAAGGGTTTATCAAAGATCTTAAATACACCATAAGAACTACAGCCATTAAATCTAAAACAGATATCATTTCAAATTTACAATACTTACAAACTTAGAATCAAGAAAATAGTCTTAAACTAGATTAATCTTTAATACTTGGTGATCAAGTAAAAAGTCTTGATGGTCAAGTTAAAGGACTCGATTAAAAAGTCCTTAAAATTTAAGATGATATGGAATTCATCAAGAATTCCCTAACCTAATTACTTCAAAAGTGATCATCAGCTTTTGAGGTCAGAATTATGTTTTATTAACTTTAAATGAATGCATTCGAAACTTGAGCTTGCATTTACAATTTAAAGGATTTAAGCCGATTATGATTGAAGAAATAAATTGATCACTAACTATAAGATTAAATATATTTCTTAAAAACTTTGAATAACTCAATCTTATTATCAGGACAAC